GCCCCCGCAGGCAGAAAAATATGGCTCAGGAGACTAACCAGACCCCAGGGCCCATGCTGTGTAGTACAGGATGTGGCTTTTATGGAAATCCTAGGACAAATGGAATGTGTTCTGTTTGCTACAAAGAACATCTTCAGAGGCAACAGAATAGTGGCAGAATGAGCCCAATGGTTTGGATACTCAAGTGTAGGATTGCAGCAAAGTGAAAGTGCTTAAATCACTAACCTAATTAAATGAACAGCCAGTGGTTCCAACAGTCCTACCTCAGATTCTGCATCTGTACAGAGAGCAGAGGCTAGCTTAAACAACTCTGAAGGTGCTGCTGGCAGCACATCTGAAAAATCAAGAAATGTTCCTGTGGCTGCCTTGCCTGTAACTCAGCAATTGACAGAAATGAGCATTTCAAGAGAGGACAAAATAATTACCCCGAAAACAGAGGTGTCAGAGCCAGTTGTCACTCAGCCCAGTCCATCAGTTTCTCAGCCCAGTACTTCTCAAAGTGAAGAAAAAGCTCCTGAGTTACCCAAACCAAAGAAGAACAGATGTTTCATGTGTAGAAAGAAAGTTGGCCTTACAGGATTTTACTGCCGATGTGGGAATTTGTTTTGTGGACTTCACCGTTACTCTGACAAGCACAACTGTCCATATGATTACAAAGCAGAAGCTGCAGCAAAAATCAGAAACGAGAATCCAGTTGTTGTGGCTGAAAAAATCCAGAGAATATAAATTACTACTTGTGAAGAGACTGAAACTTTGTTTTTATTTTAATATATCATAGGAAAACATTAAAGAGCAGATGCATGGCCATTTTCCTTTAAAAAAAAAAAAGAATAGCATCGCCTCCTGCATGTGGAGCTTACTATCCTTGTCATTTTATGGGTGGGAAGATTCCAGTGACTTGATTGCAACAAATAGTGAAGGAATAAAGGAAAAGTATTACATTCCCAAAGGATAAACCTAGCACAAACTACCTTTACAATGGGTGGACTGTAGTGCTTCAAATATTTCAGTGACCATCAGATAACCTCATCATTCTGTGACAACAAGGCATTTCAAATCCATACTATTTCTTCCAAAATTATTTAATCAGTTCTCTTTATAGGTGATTAACAATGACCATTTTCATAAGCAGGAAACAAACCATAAGGATACTCTCTCCATC